TGCCACCTGGGAAGCCCCAGGTGCAAGTATTAATACCTTATAATAACAAAGTATTTCTTCTTATTCTGTCCTCCTCCTCATATCATTGTTGTCATTCATTTCACTTATACATAAGCATATATTTTCTATACATATGATATATATAAGCATAATAATTGAAAACATCATTGCTATTGTTATCTTGAAAAACTATCTGTTAGGTCAAGTAAGAATTTAAAAAATAAAAGTTTGTATTTTACCATCACTTATTCCTTCTCTGGTGCTCTTCCTTTCTTTATGTAGATCTGAGTTTCTGATGACTGAAGGAAGGAAAATGACTGATAGCTCTTTCCTTCTTTCTGAAGAGCTTCTTTTAACACTTCTTGCTAGGCAGGTCTATTGGCAATAAAGTTCCTCAATTTTTATTCGTCTGAGGAAGTCTTTATTTCTCCTTCACTTTTGAAGGATAATGTCACAGGGTACAGAATTCTGCATTTTTCCCCCTCTTAATGCAGTAGGTCTGCTACATATGAACCTTGAGGTTGCTAACTTTCAAAGATGTGAATGTGTGTTCACATGACCAGTCGTGTAAGTGAGTCACATGCCTGGTATACATTGTCACATGTGTGCTTCCTCTATAAGTGTTGTGCTTTTGTGTCCTGTATAAAGTACAGTAGTACAGTAACTTTATTTCAAGTCCAGGATGTCTAGGAGCAAGTGTAAAGGCAGTGTTGATGTAACTGTCACTGCTAAGAATCACCAGCAGTTGTACTTCACTATTATACTTTTCAAGGTACTATGGCACTACAAGAGTATAAGATACTGTACTGTAAGATTAAAAATGTTTTCTTTATTTTTATATTTGTTTTTTATAAGCAAATATTATAAATCTATTACAGTACAGTGCTACATAGCCAGTTGTGTTAGTTGAGTACCTAGGCTAACTTTATTGGACTTAATTGGGTTTATGAACATGCTCCTGGAACAGAGCTAGTTCATATGAAGGGGATTTATTGTACTTTAAATAGTTCACTCTACTCTCTTCTTGCTTATGTGGTTTCCGAGAAGTCAGATGTAATACTTGTTTTTGCTTTCCTTTGGGTAAGGTGTTATTTCCTTCTGACTTCTTTCAAGATTATTTTTCTTTATCTTTGATTTTCTGCAGCTTGTATATGATATGCCTAGATGTAGCTTGACATTGGTTTTGTTCTTTTTCATTTATCCTGTTCTTTTCTGTCATTTGTTGGTGTTCTCTAAGCTTCCTGGGTCTGTAGTTTGGTATCTGAATTTAATTTGAGGGCCTTCTCAGTCATTTTTACTTCAAAAATTTTTTTTTTCACTTTTCCCTTTTTTTTTCTCCTTCTAGTATTCCCATACACATGTTACACCTTTTGCAACTGTTCTATATTTCTTAGATATTCTATACCTTTTTTTCCAGTATTTCTCCTTTTGTTTTTCTGTTTTAAAAATTTCTATTGACATATACCCTTAGCATATTAATCATAGTTGTTTTAAATTCCTGGCCTGGTTATTCCAGCAACCCTGCCATGTCTGAGTCTGGTTCTGCCTCTTGCCTTATTTTGTTCCTTTTAATATGCCTCATATTTGTGTGTGTGAGAGAGGGATAGTCAGATGTTAAATGTCCAGTAACAGGAACAGCAGTAATAGGCCTTTAGTAACATGGTGGTAAGGTGCTGGGGGAGGGGAAGCATTCTGTAGTCCTGAGATTAGATTTCAGTCTTCATGTGAACCTGTTTCTCTGAACAATGAGCGTCATACATGTTTCTCAGGGTTCCCCCCACCTTATATAGGACTGGATAGCTAACACAGGTTGGAGTTGGGTATTTTCCTTCCCCTAGGTTACTTAGGATCTGATAAAGCTACAGTGGTTTAGTCTCTGATGAAACAGCTTCTTCTAAGAGCCAGCCTTGTTAAGAACAGGGAGCTCTGCTGTGTTTCAGAATTCCTTCCCTCTCTCCCTGTGATCAGCGTGAGGGATTTCTTTCTCCAATATTCACTGTAAGAACATGGTCAAACAACTGGAGGTAAAACTCAGAAAAGTGGGGGGACCCTGTGACGGGATCAGCCTAGAGTCTTTGACAGACCGCCCACGCTGGGACCCAGCGGTTCACCATTTAGGGCAGGCTTCCCTTCCCTGTGCTGGCTTTCCACTGGGTTGCTGCTTGGGAGTTTCTGTTCCACTGAGTTATGATCCATATCTGTCTCTCCCACAGGGCAGCGGTTTGCCCTGTGATGTTACTTCTCTGTTAAATCTTAAGAAGAGTTGTTGATTTTCCAGTTTGTTCAGCTTTTTACTGGTTAGGACAGAGCAACAACTTCCAAGCTCCTCACATGCTGGACTGGAGACCAAAACAGTTTATGTTTTCACCTTGGGTGTCCTGCACCAAGGTCAGCTTACGTGATGCAGATGAAGCAAAAACAAAATTCAGGCATGGCCTTCGTTCCTTTGAATCCAGAGTTTGGATCTGAAAGGGACCTTGGAGGTCACGCTATTCAGGCTCCTCATTTTTAGAGATGAGCTTCTTTATAGGCTGTCTACTGTGAGTATTCCTCTCTTGGGAACATTCCCACTTTACAGCAGAGTAATATATAGTGCATTGTATACAGGGGACCCATTCGGGTTCAGCATCCAAATGAACTTTATTCAGAGAAACCAATTAAATTCTACGGTCAGTGTTCTGCTCCCTGAAAGGAAATTTCAGGGTGATTTTTATTTATCCGTAGCCTGATTATCTCTGTGAGGTGATTGATTTTAGATCTGTGTGAGGGGATGATGGGTGATTTTTTTATTTTTCTTTTTTTGTCTTCCTGCATTTTCCAAGTTGTACTTCACTATTATACTTTTCAAGGTACTATGGCACTACAAGAGTATAAGATACTGTACTGTAAGATTAAAAATGTTTTCTTTATTTTTATATTTGTTTTTTATAAGCAAATATTATAAATCTATTACAGTACAGTGCTACATAGCCAGTTGTGTTAGTTGAGTACCTAGGCTAACTTTATTGGACTTAATTGGGTTTATGAACATGCTCCTGGAACAGAGCTAGTTCATATGAAGGGGATTTATTGTACTTTAAATAGTTCACTCTACTCTCTTCTTGCTTATGTGGTTTCCGAGAAGTCAGATGTAATACTTGTTTTTGCTTTCCTTTGGGTAAGGTGTTATTTCCTTCTGACTTCTTTCAAGATTATTTTTCTTTATCTTTGATTTTCTGCAGCTTGTATATGATATGCCTAGATGTAGCTTGACATTGGTTTTGTTCTTTTTCATTTATCCTGTTCTTTTCTGTCATTTGTTGGTGTTCTCTAAGCTTCCTGGGTCTGTAGTTTGGTATCTGAATTTAATTTGAGGGCCTTCTCAGTCATTTTTACTTCAAAAATTTTTTTTTTCACTTTTCCCTTTTTTTTTCTCCTTCTAGTATTCCCATACACATGTTACACCTTTTGCAACTGTTCTATATTTCTTAGATATTCTATACCTTTTTTTCCAGTATTTCTCCTTTTGTTTTTCTGTTTTAAAAATTTCTATTGACATATACCCGTAGCATATTAATCATAGTTGTTTTAAATTCCTGGCCTGGTTATTCCAGCAACCCTGCCATGTCTGAGTCTGGTTCTGCCTCTTGCCTTATTTTGTTCCTTTTAATATGCCTCATATTTGTGTGTGTGAGAGAGGGATAGTCAGATGTTAAATGTCCAGTAACAGGAACAGCAGTAATAGGCCTTTAGTAACATGGTGGTAAGGTGCTGGGGGAGGGGAAGCATTCTGTAGTCCTGAGATTAGATTTCAGTCTTCATGTGAACCTGTTTCTCTGAACAATGAGCGTCATACATGTTTCTCAGGGTTCCCCCCACCTTATATAGGACTGGATAGCTAACACAGGTTGGAGTTGGGTATTTTCCTTCCCCTAGGTTACTTAGGATCTGATAAAGCTACAGTGGTTTAGTCTCTGATGAAACAGCTTCTTCTAAAAGCCAGCCTTGTTAAGAACAGGGAGCTCTGCTGTGTTTCAGAATTCCTTCCCTCTCTCCCTGTGATCAGCGTGAGGGATTTCTTTCTCCAATATTCACTGTAAGAACATGGTCAAACAACTGGAGGTAAAACTCAGAAAAGTGGGGGGACCCTGTGACGGGATCAGCCTAGAGTCTTTGACAGACCGCCCACGCTGGGACCCAGCGGTTCACCATTTAGGGCAGGCTTCCCTTCCCTGTGCTGGCTTTCCACTGGGTTGCTGCTTGGGAGTTTCTGTTCCACTGAGTTATGATCCATATCTGTCTCTCCCACAGGGCAGCGGTTTGCCCTGTGATGTTACTTCTCTGTTAAATCTTAAGAAGAGTTGTTGATTTTCCAGTTTGTTCAGCTTTTTACTGGTTAGGACAGAGCAACAACTTCCAAGCTCCTCACATGCTGGACTGGAGACCAAAACAGTTTATGTTTTCACCTTGGGTGTCCTGCACCAAGGTCAGCTTACGTGATGCAGATGAAGCAAAAACAAAATTCAGGCATGGCCTTCGTTCCTTTGAATCCAGAGTTTGGATCTGAAAGGGACCTTGGAGGTCACGCTATTCAGGCTCCTCATTTTTAGAGATGAGCTTCTTTATAGGCTGTCTACTGTGAGTATTCCTCTCTTGGGAACATTCCCACTTTACAGCAGAGTAATATATAGTGCATTGTATACAGGGGACCCATTCGGGTTCAGCATCCAAATGAACTTTATTCAGAGAAACCAGTTAAATTCTACGGCCAGTGTTCTGCTCCCTGAAAGGAAATTTCAGGGTGATTTTTATTTATCCGTAGCCTGATTATCTCTGTGAGGTGATTGATTTTAGATCTGTGTGAGGGGATGATGGGTGATTTTTTTATTTTTCTTTTTTTGTCTTCCTGCATTTTCCAAATTCTAATAAATGAACGTGTGTTCCTTTTACAATCAGAGCACAATAAGGTAACATTTTAGGCCATGACCCTTTGGAAGCCTCTCCTCCGTGTCTCCTTACAGTCTGCAAGATGAACGTTCACCGGCGCTGTGAGACCAACGTGGCTCCCAACTGTGGCGTGGATGCCAGGGGTATCGCTAAGGTGTTGGCTGACCTGGGTGTTACTCCAGACAAGATCACCAATAGTGGCCAGAGGAGGAAAAAGGTAAGTGGTTCTTGGGTGATGTTTCTGGAGCTCCATGTGAGCCAGCATCTCTGTGCTATCTTCCTGAGAGCCCCTTGGAGTATAGTTCTGAGACTGCTGGGTTGAGATGCTGGACTTGAAGCAGCATGTGCTTAAAGAAAACAAAGAAGGAAAAGTCATGCAGGTAACACAAAAGTCTCCTTTGATTCCAGAGGTGAGGAAAAGCCAAGCAAGTCTCGAAGTGTTGTGTTTCTTAGGGGTACATCACCTTTGAGGTAAGGATTCTGGAATTCCCTCCAGAGAAGACTCAGTTCTAGACAGGGAAGTAGCCTTATCTGCCTCCAAGACTGGCATGAGAGCAATGTTCACATTTGAACTTTGCCTCTGGTATCACTATAATGAGGATAAATGGATGAAGAGCTGGAAACACATTCTTTTCTAGGGAGCAAGCCAAGAAGATTTGTGATAGTGCTGGCACTTGGCTGCCCGAGGAATATTGTTAATGTCCCACGACATGAAACATCTGGGCCTGTCTTTGGTGACCAAAGCCCTGTCTCTATCTGTGTGACATTCCGAATGTCAGTAGGAAAAGATCCATTTGCTAAAATGTTATTTTGGTAAGTCAGGGCCCACAGATGTAAACAGTGCTAAAGATATCTCTAGCATTTTGTTTGAAGGCTCGTCCTAGCCTTCGCTCCTAGCCTAAAAAATGTAAGAGGGCTCTGAAAGAGTAAATTAATGAAAAAAATGAGAACCATGTTAACTGGGCAAGAAATCCTGGTGGGGTGGTATGGGCAAGTGGCTCTCATTGCCCAGTACTTTTCTTTTTTTTTTTTTACTAAAAAAACAAGCCTGACTCTGGGTACCTCGACAGTCTTAGCTCCTAAATGTTGTCCCTAAATTTTCCCTTGAAATACTTTCTGAAGGGCTTTGTGTTTCCCTTCTTGTTCTAGAAGCTGCCCATGCCTTTTCCCTGCTGCCTCTCAGAGGAGGCTTTTCCCTTGAATGGGAAAGTTTGGTTGTTTCCATCTTCTTAAGCATTTTCTTCTTTACCTTTCCAATAAACAGAGCTATTTTGTAAGGTTTGGAGGAAAAAACACCCTCTCCTCCTGACTAACGTGAGATTTTTGTGCTTCTGGTGGCCCTTCTCAGCTCTTGACAGTCCCACTGGTAGAAGCAGGACTTCAGTTATTGACCCAAGACATTGAAGCTACAAGCAGAATGTCAGAACCCCTAATGCTGAGGCCCCACCCAGAAGGCAGGTTAGACAAACACCCTGTGATGACAGTGCTGAACACACATATGTACGGGCTCTACAGAGAGTCCTGTTCGGCAGACATGATTTTGTCCCTTGTCAGAAGTAAACTGGTTTTAGAAAAGGCAGAGGAACCAGAGATCAAATTGCCAACATCCGCTGAATCATCGAAAAAGCAAGAGAGTTCCAGAAAAACATCTATTTCTGCTTTATTGACTATGTCAAAGCCTTTGACTGTGTGGATCCACTGGAGAGTAGCAATCCACTGGAGAAAGAGTACTCTTTCTGAAAATGGCACTCTGCAACGATTCTATATTCATATGCAAAACCATGGATCTATTAATAGATACAGACCATCACCTATCACAGAGTTAACTTACACTCGATCATTAAGTTAAACTTCAATTAATGTGAAACACCAAACTGTAAGACTTCTAGACAATAATATAAAATCTAGGTGACCTTGGGTTTGGCAATGAGCTTTTAGATAAAACACCAAAAGCACANGATTGAGGGCAGGAGGAGAAGGGGATGACAGAGGATGAGATGGTTGGATGGCGTCACTGACTCAATGGCCATGGGTTTGGGTGAACTCCGGGAGTTGGTGATGGACAGGGAGGCCTGGCATGCTGTGGTTCATGGGGTCGCAATGAGTCAGACACGACTGAGCGACTGAACTGAACTGAGAAGTAAACTGAGTTGGAATCTTTACTGTCATGAAACATTTCAGAGAAAACTCAATACCTGCCCCCTCCCCTGTATTTACGTGGCCTGTAATGAGAGTAACCAGGCATTGTCTGCCTGTCTTGGATTTGGGAGATCCTGGTGCTAAGAAGTCAACATGGAGAAAATAAGGAAGGAGCAGAGTCAGAGACTAAGAGACTTCAGTCCTGAGAGTTTTACTGCTGTGTTGCTTCTGATGCAAAAGCTGGAAAAAGTCAAGCAAACCAAGTAGTACCTTGAGTTAGTACGAGAGGATGGGAGACAAGTGCCCTTGGCCAGAAGCTGAGGGAGCTTCTACGTGGGAGCGTCAGGCTTTCTGGAGCCTGAGTTACCTCCATAGCGCCCCTTGCAAGCAGCTGATCATCCAGAAGTGATGTGTGTGCGCAGCGGGTAGATCAAGAATAAAGGGGAACAGACGTGCTTGTGATCTCCTGAGTGCAGACTTCTGCCTTTAATGGGGACTTAGTGTGAATATACCAGCATCTAGGCCAAGAAATAGACTTCATGGAGGATGTCCTGCTAAAGATTTCCTGATTGCCGACAAATATTGACACATCTGAAAATGCTTATCAAGCTTCTGTTACGTGCCTCACTCTGTGCAATCTCCAGGGGCAATACAAATACTAGATAGGCTCTTAACCTTCAGAGAACCTACAGTCTACCTGAGTAGAGATCCCAAATTAAATAAAGCTGAACAAGGTAGGGAATGAATACCAAGCAGCTGTCAAGTTGCTCTGGATGAGACAACTAGCATTGCTTGGATAGGCAAGAGAAGTTTCATGGAAGGGGTAAGGTTGAGTTTTTCTTGGAAAAGTCAGTTGTATTTGGGTAGAATAAAAATTAAACAAGCTGACATCACTTGTTTTCTTTCCTTTAATTGACAAAGGAACCCTTGAATCTCTGCTTTCAGATGATCAATTCAGCAAGAGCTACTGTGCACCAGGGACTGCTATAGCCCCTGGCATCATATCTCGATGCTTTTGACTTTAGGGAAACTCCCCATCTCCTTTCTGAACCCTTTCTCCCCTCGTTCTCTCCCTCTCTGTAGCTCATTGCTGGTGCTGAGTCCCCACAGCCTGCTTCTGGAAGCTCACCGTCTGAGGAAGATCGATCCAAGTCGGCCCCCACCTCCCCCTGTGACCAGGGTGAGACCCTCAGATTTGCTTCTTTACCTCTGAGCTCTGTCCTTGGAAAGGCCAAGGAGTCCAAGGCTTGAGAGTGTGGCACTAAATGGCTCTGCCACCCTGACATCACTCCCAGGCAGGATAGAAGAGAGAGAGGTGGGGAGCTGTGGTTCTTTTCTTTTCTCTCGCCTATCTTCCAGCTTCCACGTGCAGGAGAGGCAGAGAGCGCAGCCCTTCTCTCACCACACTGCCCAGCTCTGCTCCCAGCCCCATCAGCACCGCTCAGTTGAGTTGTATCTGACTTCCTTCCTCCCTGAACTTCACCATCAAACCCAAAACTTGAGATCAGGGCAGGAGTCTGGAGATGGGTGGGTGGGGATAGGAAGGTGAAGCTGGCCGAGCCTGGTAGAAGCCAGTCAGCTCTGCACCTGACTCCCCTCTAGAGCTCAGCTCAGGATGTCTCCTTCTCCATCAGAATATGCTGAGAGTTATCAAAGGTTTCTGAATTCTGCAAGCATCCAAGGATGCCAAGACTGAGGAAGGATATATACATTTTAGACCTTCCCCTCTGGTAACCAGAACCAGATCTCCCTGGAAAGGGATGTTTGCATCTGCAGAACAGGAATAATCATTAACAAGTCAGAACAATAGTGCCTTGATGTTCTATAGCCCCTTTTGTCTTCCTTATCCTCATTCTTCACTCAAGCCAACTCTCTGTCTATGCTCCCCTACTGTCCCCAGGTTACAGGGTGAGAAGTGGAAGGCAGAGAGTTAAAAAGTTTTGTCCAAAGGTCAGGAACTAAGTCAGTGGTATAGGTGAGATGTCACCCCTTATGGCCTAGGGACCCCATTCTCAGAAGCCTTGCCATGGAACCCTCTGTGGAGGTCATCACTGCAACCCAGCCCTTCTTCCCCAGAAGTAAATAAAACAGCTGCAGTGGGCATGCCAGTCCTGAGGTCACAAAAGAATTGATCTGAGTCCCTCTTCATGCTTCTCTGATTAACTTTCTGCACCTTTATACTCTGCTTCCTTTCAAAAGAGGTTTGAGCCCTTTGTAAATAATCCAGTGGTTCCCCGGGGCCTCCAAACAAGCAGATGCTGTCCCCGTCCAATGGGAGTATTTTCAGGTTTTGCTTTTTTAAGGCTGAGAGCTCCTTTGAGAGCTTCAAGGGGACAGAGTCACATGATAAAGAAACCCCAGGCAAGCATGAGGCAACTGGGTTTGTAGGCCTGGTTCCTGTCCAGCCTGCTGTCCAGCCTCGGCAGGACACCATGCCCCTCAGGACCTCTTTTTGTCCCCCGTCCGTGAAGGTACAGTATTTCCCAGCCATGTTGTGAGGACAAATAGATGTGAAAACCTTCTTAGCAAGACAGTACATTATCGTAGAACTGAAATAAGGCACAACTCCTCTTCTCTCTGTTGTAAGAACACATAGAAAGATATTTTCTTCAAGTTTTAATATCCAAGTTCTGTCTTCCAAAATTTGTTTAATAACTTGCTTGCAAGTTGTGAGCAGAAACTCTATGCTGAGAGCATAAGTTATACTTAGTTAAGAGTAAGTGATAGAAAACTGCGGAGCTGGCATGGGCATATCTGTAGACTTGGAAGCTGTCCTCACCTCTCCTCTGCACTCTGTCCCGACACATCTCAGAGAAGTCAAGCCTGCAGATCATGGAGCTTTCATAGGCCTCAGTCCTTCTGTAAAGGAGCCAAAGTTGTCTTTATGTCAAGCAGCCGCTGATCACTCCTGCTTGATTCTGATTCCCAAAGGTTAATAGTTTGTTTCCCCCCTGTGATCCCAGTTATTCACAAGCAGCTTTTAAAGTTGGATTCTGCTCAAGATGTCCACTTCTACACAAAGGAGTGTATGTCTTGGTGAATGTATAGCTAACAACAAAGTTTTCTCAAATAGAAAAGGTCAAAGGGTCACCCAGCATTATCATCCCCAGGTTAGTTCAGGTCACATACTCTGCAGCAGCGCAAGGCTGTGTCATAGTTATGAAACTGCTGAGGAATTCCTGCCCCATCCAAGATAAATTTGCAACATGTCACTCTTGGGACACAATTCTTTTGTTAACAATAAGCCCACTGCTCATTTGGTTAAATAACCTTATGGAATATGGGTATTTAGAATAAACCCAGCAATAAAGCCAAATAAAGTCCCTTAGAAGGTAAACTGTGCAGTTTTCCATTAGTCATCGTTTTAATTTTCAAAGGAATCTTGAAGGGTCCCTATTGCCTTTGGGAGGCCAGGATTCCTACATTACACCTAGAACAATGCAACAGGCTACCAGCAGAAGGGGGCTTTCAGAGAGGTGGCCCGGACCCAGAATAAAAGGCAGATCTGAAGGAGAGGACTGGCAGGGACCATGTTGTTCTCCACTTTGTGTTCCTAGGCCTTGCTGTACATTAATTAGGTGCCAGTGAAAGTGTGCAGCGCAAATGAAGGGACTTACAGGAATGCCTCGCTGGGTCTGTTGCTCTGAAGAACCAGAGGGAGGGGTTGAGAGTCATGTGCAGGGGGAACATTTTGAATATCAGATCCTAACAGGAAGGGCTTGTGAGGTGCGCACTAACGCAATATCTTGTCACCCTTGGTCCTAGAAATAAAAGAACTTGAAAACAACATCCGGAAGGCCTTGTCATTTGACAATCGAGGGGAGGAGCACAGGGCAGCCTCGTCCACCGATGGTCAGCTGGCGAGCCTGGGTGAAAATGGTGAAATCCGGCAAGGCCAGGCCAAGCGCTTGGGCCTGGATGAGTTCAACTTCATCAAGGTGTTGGGCAAAGGCAGCTTCGGCAAGGTCTGTGGCACGCAAGGGCAGAACTGCCGGTCTGATCCAAAATTAAGTGATGAACATTTCAGCCTGGTCTGGTTATGTTTTCCTTCCTGGTTGAGTGAAAATGGCCTGAGGCCAAGCAGACAGGAACCAGGGTTCTGCTGCTCACGGGTTGCAGGACTCCAGGGTAGTCATTCCCGCTCTCTGGGATTCAGTTTTTCTCATTTGTCAAATCGGAACAGGAACCCAGTGAGAGAGCGAGCGAGAAAGCACTCGGAGCAGTTTAAATTGCTTTCTGTGTGCCTGACCTCCCATTGTCAACAATAGTCCTGGGAGCTTTCTTCCTTTCAGAGATCCGTCTGAAATTCTGTTTTCTTCATTCATTACAAAAATTTTGGAAATTAATTCTAGCATCTCTGCCCTGAGTGAACTTGAGGCTCAAAGGAAATCTTAGAGTGTATTACTTTGTAAATTAAATGTTATTTTAAGTGACTTTTCTGGCACTGATTAAATGTCTTTTTTATCCTCTGCCTGTGGCGAGAGAATGGGCACAGCCATCTCAGGTCTTGGATCAGGGGCCACTGCCCTCGGGGCCCTTCTCCTCTCCTGCTCCCCTGAGCCCAACACAGCGATCTGGGGCATGGGTGCAGAGTGTGCCCACTAAAGCCTTCATGGTGACCAGCCAGCATTCTGAAGGTGGGATGAGAGGGATAAAATAACCCCAGTTTATTTTAGAAGATAGGAAACTGGTTAACATTTCAGCTTAGACCCCTGATTATTCCCTGCTTATCACAAAGCCATGCCTGGGATCAATGGCAGTCACCTTTCTAGGACCTCCTAGAGCAAGGTGGCCATGCTCTGGAGCCAGGTGCCTGGCTCTGGGAGCTCCCGGGGGCCCCATGCCCTCATGCATCCTGGACTTCTGCAGGCTAAGCTATAGACCTGCTCCACTTCTCTACAGAGGAAGTAGCTTTCTGGAGCCCCCAGAGGATGAGACCTGGTTCCCAGCCATCTTACCTGCCACATTTCATCCTGAGACTGTGGCTGGCTTTGATTTAATAGCAAAAGTCATTGGTGGGATTGACTCTAATAGCAAAGGCTGAAGCAATCAAATTCTTCAAGGAATGCCTCGCTGGGTCTGTTGCTCTGAAGAACCAGAGGGAGGGGTTGAGAGTCATGTGCAGGGGGAACATTTTGAATATCAGATCCTAACAGGAAGGGCTTGTGAGGTGCGCACTAACGCAATATCTTGTCACCCTTGGTCCTAGAAATAAAAGAACTTGAAAACAACATCCGGAAGGCCTTGTCATTTGACAATCGAGGGGAGGAGCACAGGGCAGCCTCGTCCACCGATGGTCAGCTGGCGAGCCTGGGTGAAAATGGTGAAATCCGGCAAGGCCAGGCCAAGCGCTTGGGCCTGGATGAGTTCAACTTCATCAAGGTGTTGGGCAAAGGCAGCTTCGGCAAGGTCTGTGGCACGCAAGGGCAGAACTGCCGGTCTGATCCAAAATTAAGTGATGAACATTTCAGCCTGGTCTGGTTATGTTTTCCTTCCTGGTTGAGTGAAAATGGCCTGAGGCCAAGCAGACAGGAACCAGGGTTCTGCTGCTCACGGGTTGCAGGACTCCAGGGTAGTCATTCCCGCTCTCTGGGATTCAGTTTTTCTCATTTGTCAAATCGGAACAGGAACCCAGTGAGAGAGCGAGCGAGAAAGCACTCGGAGCAGTTTAAATTGCTTTCTGTGTGCCTGACCTCCCATTGTCAACAATAGTCCTGGGAGCTTTCTTCCTTTCAGAGATCCGTCTGAAATTCTGTTTTCTTCATTCATTACAAAAATTTTGGAAATTAATTCTAGCATCTCTGCCCTGAGTGAACTTGAGGCTCAAAGGAAATCTTAGAGTGTATTACTTTGTAAATTAAATGTTATTTTAAGTGACTTTTCTGGCACTGATTAAATGTCTTTTTTATCCTCTGCCTGTGGCGAGAGAATGGGCACAGCCATCTCAGGTCTTGGATCAGGGGCCACTGCCCTCGGGGCCCTTCTCCTCTCCTGCTCCCCTGAGCCCAACACAGCGATCTGGGGCATGGGTGCAGAGTGTGCCCACTAAAGCCTTCATGGTGACCAGCCAGCATTCTGAAGGTGGGATGAGAGGGATAAAATAACCCCAGTTTATTTTAGAAGATAGGAAACTGGTTAACATTTCAGCTTAGACCCCTGATTATTCCCTGCTTATCACAAAGCCATGCCTGGGATCAATGGCAGTCACCTTTCTAGGACCTCCTAGAGCAAGGTGGCCATGCTCTGGAGCCAGGTGCCTGGCTCTGGGAGCTCCCGGGGGCCCCATGCCCTCATGCATCCTGGACTTCTGCAGGCTAAGCTATAGACCTGCTCCACTTCTCTACAGAGGAAGTAGCTTTCTGGAGCCCCCAGAGGATGAGACCTGGTTCTCAGCCATCTTACCTGCCACATTTCATCCTGAGACTGTGGCTGGCTTTGATTTAATAGCAAAAGTCATTGGTGGGATTGACTCTAATAGCAAAGGCTGAAGCAATCAAATTCTTCAGAGACTGGTTATGTAAGAAGCAGACCCGAGTCCTCTGATGAGACATAACTCTGGAATGTAAGCAGGACCTGGTTTAATTCTGAGCAAGACTCAAGGGGAAAGAAGCAGGTTCAGAGGCTCCAGGTTTCCATAGGATATAAGCAGGATGTGAACCTCAATGGCCCGGGAGCATTAGGGTTGCTTCTTCAGAAAAATTGCTGCCAAAGTTTGAGCCAGTTTTAAAGACTTTGTATTGTATTTGGGTGACAAACGTCTTCAGGGTAACATCCTGAATGCCATCATTAAGCTTCTGAGTTACTGCTCTTTAGCTCTGATGACTGAAATACTGTATTTACAAGTTATTTAATGGGAGAAAATCTTGTCACATTTGTAGGGAAACAAGTGCAAAAAAATCAAATGATAGGAAAACTTTAAGAAAATAGAGCTGTTAATGCACTCTCTGGAGAAGGAATCACATTCCTGGTTTTAGAGCTATAAAAGAAATCATAAAGGTAAACAAGGACAGATTCAACTACAAAAAGATAGAGGACCTTGTTCAATAGAAAAAATAACAGAAAATCATATGGCAGGTTTAGAAAAACCTTTGCAGAAATTAAAGTGGTAGTAACTTTACATACCAAGCTCATAAGGATTCCTAAAGAATATAGTAGTATAAAATAGTAGATAACTGGACAGAGGATAATAATTCACACAAAAAGAAATTATAGTTAGAAAACAAAGATTTTTAGTTTCATTACAAGTTAAAACAGCATTGAGGAAACATTTCACACTCATTATATAAGCAAAGCTTTTTATGTGAAAGCACCACATTAGTGAATGTACATAAAACTAAAGCACTTCTACATTACTAGTGGCAGATTATATAGTATCTCCTTTTTGAAAGTCAGGAAATGTACACATTTAACTCTATAATTCACTTTTAAGATTTTCTAAAGGATGTGATCTAAAAGAAAGAAAAGTTATATGTATAAAGCACCTGAAGCAATTTATCTATATAATACTTAATAATTGGATTGGAGAAGGAAATGGCAACCCACTCCAGTATTCTTGCCTGGAGAATCCCATGGACAGAGGAGCCTGGCAGGCTACAGTCCATGGGATCGCAAGAGTCAGACATGACTTAGCGACTAAACCACCAATAATTGGATGAAACTAGTTTGAAGTACATGGTTAAATAAACTGTTATAGATATACTTGAATATCAGCAACCATGATATGATGGAGACTATATAGAGAAATGCTTATGAAATAATGTTCAGTTAAAAAATCTATACTATATTTGCTGTACTCATTGCAAGTATGACAAATTATATGAACATATGAAAAATTATTAATATGTTCATATAATTTGTTTAACAAATGTGCATTGAATTTTTCTTTGCCTGGACACAGTACTAGAGATTAAAAACAAATAAATTATAGTAGCTGTATTGGGATGGATAGTCTTTACATTTTAAATACTACAATACTATTTGAAATTAAAGATAAAATGAGTTAGTTTTTAAAGCATTTGGTATTGACTTGGGTTTCTTTTAATTTCCTATATATATAGACTTACGGGGTGGTTTTGGTTAATTACAGGTCATGTTGGCGGAGCTCAAAGGCAAAGATGAAGTCTATGCTGTGAAGGTCCTAAAGAAGGATGTCATCCTTCAGGATGATGATGTAGACTGCACGATGACAGAGAAGCGGATTTTGGCTCTGGCTCGAAAACATCCATACCTAACCCAACTCTATTGCTGCTTCCAGACCAAGGTATGTTTAAGAGGAAGCTGGTGGACTGCCATCTGAGGGTTGTGCTGGAGGATACTAGTATTTTGACTGTCAGATAAAATTTAAAAAATCAATCATAGATCCCCTACATTCTTTTCTCAAGGACCTTGTAAAATGGAATGAATTTTACCCTTGAAAAGATCAGGGAATATTTGAACAGCATTCTCTTTTTTAAGAGTAAGGGATTTTCCACTCAAGGCTGTACTTGTGAAGGGATGAGAGGGTGATAGAAATCTTTATGAGTGTAGCTGGACAAAGAAAGTCAAATGAATAACCCTGGTGTTTGCTTCTTGGAGAAAACAGCAGACATGGTTTATCCTTGCTCTGCTCCTAACTTTTTGTCACTTGGCAAATCACTTAAGTTTGTCGTTGCCCTCAGATCAAATGAAAATACAATAAAGGCCACCTGAACTATGTCTAATCTGTGTACCATCATATGAGGTAAAGGATGTGAACAAGTCACCACCATGGCTGGGGGTTCAATCCCTGGTCAGGGAATTAAGATCCTGCAAGCCACATGGCATGGTCAAAAAAAAAAATCCATCATGAATCACAAATTTAAGGTAGCATTTTAAAATTACCATGTAGGTGCCTAGAGACCAGAAGGTGGCAGTAAAGAAATGAAAATAATCTGTAAGCATGGAGTCAGCCATGAGGTCAGCTTTCCTCTTTTCTCCGCCTGAGAATAATTCTGAATTAATGAGAGACTTTTCCTGTATTTCTTTATTTTCCATGGTGCCTATCAAAGGCCTCACACATAGTAGCTGGTTACTCTCAGAGATGGAGGGGTGGGAGATTTTTTTTAAAATTCTCTCTATTCTTCTTATTGCACCAGTGTGAAAATCAGATTTCAGAGAAGTAAATCTTTGGCCCACAGACACTTGGTATTGGCAGTCGAGCTACCGTCTCATCTCTGGGACTTCCAGTTTAGTGGGGACTGCTCTGATACCATGTTGTGTTACCGCATCTTCCCCTGCCCATAGCAGCTGTGCCTTATCTCTTACTATCTGAGCTGCTTTCCTAGCAGGGCTCCACATTAGCTTTCTTTCTTTGGACACATTGCCAAGAGGTCCGACATCCCGAGAGAAGTCCAGTCTAACTGTAGGGACCTTCTGTGGGGACCTGTATGTGGTAGACCTGGGGAGCCTCAGCAGAGGCTCTGCTTCCTTGCAGTGTTAGTGAATGAGGAGTGGGGTTGATGTCTTTAGGGTCAGCAGTGTTCTCCTCTGTGCATTTAGAATATCAACGCTAGGGGCCTCATTATGCAACTGCTCTTGAAGCAGAAAATGGTATCTAATGATACCATGGGTTTCCTTTGTGGCAGAACAGTGACCAAATGACATGGAGATTTGTGTCTGAGTGGCTAGAGGGTAAGGCTGGGGAGAGAAGGGGCTTTCCTCTGTAGTTCAGAGATTTTTCTTAGGCCAATGTCAGGTGGCCACAGTTAAGGGAGCAATTCCCAAACCATGCAGTTGACCATGGCACATCTCACTTAACATGACAGTATGTTCATCTAATTTTTCCAAAGCAAATCATAGTTTAACCTCACTGAAGACCTTAGCTTACTAGTGAAAAGAATCTTATGAGGGATCATTGAATAAGCTCCCAGCCTAATGGTTAGAAAATGTGGCTTTTCCTATGGCAAGCAGCCATCATGATTTTAAAGAATAACTGATGTTCACCTGACTCTGCGGTAGATTCTGGGTGTGGAGTATCAGCCAAAAGGAAGGTGATTCTCAAGTGGAGGACGTTACTCAGTAAGGCATGAGGAGGTTATACTAACTTCCACAGCAAACAGCCTTGAGTATTTACATTCTGGGTGGAGGTGTTCAAGCCAGGAAAACTCAGAGGAGAGGGTGATCCTTAGAGTCTGGAGGTGAGGAAGGAGTTGGATCCAGGCCCTGCAGAGTGGGGAGGACGGGAACAGGACTTGAGTGGGAATGGAACTGAGTTCAGGGGCCATAGTGCAGGACAGCTTTAGTTTCGCTTTTCCTGAAAAGAAAGGATGGTGTTTCTGAGCCTTCATAACCCTGTTTTGACTAAGTCTCTAACACATGATTAAGGAACACAAGACCTGCTTGCAATCCTATTAAGATTTCTTTCATTCTTGCTTAATTATGACACAGAGAGCAGGAAGAGTGTTAAGTCGGGTTTAATTATTTTTAGGCGAGCCCTTGTTGTTTGGTATGTAGAAGAAACAGCCCCTATGAAAGCATTCCTTTGAGAAGCTCCCGAGAGGCTGCGCAGGGCTTCAGGCCATGCACTACACAGCTTGCCTGACAGGACTTGGAAGTGTGTAAGGTCCCAGGTCTGGTATGGTGACCAGTGGCAATGATTGTGTAAACCCTATGGCGCCAGTTGTGACGTCAGGTCTGGATACTACAGCCCGCTAAATGACCAAGTTACAGTTAAATAATGTTGTGGCCTTTTCTGTGCCAAGCCCACCTGTCCTTGACTCCTGTGCTCTGATCATTCTCCATGGGATCTGAAAGGTAAAAAGCAAATGAAATGGCTCCAGTCCTTGTGAGAAAAGGCAGAAGGCCCTCAAATTAAGCCAGTATCTTCAGTTTCAATCAAATTCACACCAGTGTGTTTGACTGGAATTATCCCTATGCTCTTTGGGATGCTAGAGTCACCTGAAACAGCTGGAAAAATCTACAAAACTGTATTTAATTGTGTAGCAAACATATAGTATGAAAAGGAGGTAAAAAGACTGCCTACTCCAGTTGAGATAGAGTAGCCTCATTTCTCTCAGGCCCTCCCTCTTACAACTAAAAAAAAAAAAATCCCTGGGCATAATTCTTACTTTATCAGGGCATTATGCTCTTCAAGATTGACATCAGTTCACTTCAGTTCAGTCACTCAGTCATGTCCAACTCTTTGCAACCCCATGGACTGCAGCATGCCAGGCTTCCATGGCCATCACTAACTCCCGAAGCCTGCTCAAACTCATGTCCATTGAGTCGGTGATGTCATCCAACCATCTTATCCTCTGTCATCCTGTACTCCTCCTGCCTTCAATCTTGCCTAGCATCAGGGTCTTTTCAAATGAGTCAGTTCACATCAGGTGGCCGAAGTATTGGAGCTTCAGCTTCAGCATCAGTCCTTCCAATAAATATTCAGGACTGATTTCCTTCAGAATTGACTGGTTTGATATCCTTGCAGTCCAAGGGACTCTCCAGGGTCTTCTCCAACACCACAGTTCAAAAGCATCAATTCTTCAGTGCTCAGCTTTCTTTATGGTCCAAATCTCACACCCATACATGACTACTGGAAAAACCATAGCTTTGACTAGATGGACCTTTGTCAGCAAAGTAATGTCTCTGCTTTTTAATATGCGCTCTAGGTTTGCCATAGCTTTTCTTCCAAGGAGCAAGCGTCTTTTAATTTCATGGCTGCAGTCACCATCTGCAGAGATTTTAGAACCCAAGACAATAAAATCTGTCACTGTTTCCATTGTTTCCCCATCTATTTGCCATAAAGTGATGGGATCAATGCAAAGAAATAGAAGGAAACAATAGAATGGGAAAGACTAGAGATCTCTTCAAGAAAATTAGAGATACCAAGGGAACATTTCATGCAAAGATGGGCACAATAAAGGACAGAAATGGTATGGACCTAACAGAAGCAGAAGATATTAAGAAGAGGTGGCAAGAATACACAGAA